GAAGAACCCGTCCAGAAGACCTATACAATATTTTTCTTTTTGATTTTTTACCTGGATTGCTGAGATGCATCAGGACATGAACCAAGTTAGAAAAATAAACAATAGTCAAGACCATTATAGTTTACCGGTAACCACATTTATGATAGGGGAAACTCATATTATTCAAATGGCAATGTGCGTATTTGATATTTTGAAATGGGCAATTCCATATGCAAAAGAGGCAATGCAGTCCTGTGTTAACATTTCTTACCTTCATTCCAGGCAGCCCAGCCAATCCTCGAGGTCCAGCAGGACAGGCAGCAGGACACTGCAAACATTCACACACAGTCTGATTCTCAACAAGCATGGTTGCTGCACAGCCTCTTTACTATCACCAACTCCTTCTGATCAGTCATTCAGTCATCACTCCCACTGCCATGCATTCAGAAAACATTTAGCAGAGAATAAAACACTCACAGCTTCCCCACTCCCTTCACTGGCAGCACCAGGTGGTCCCTAAAACACAGCACAGTGACATCTAAAATGAATGGTTTTAGATGTCCTCGTAAGTACACCACATCACACCAAAAGGAAAGAAAAAGAAAAAACTGTTATAATGAAATGAGTAATTAGAAAACACTGTGCAATGTCGTCACACACATCAAAGTTCAAAACGTTGGAGGCTAGGAAGGAGTGTAGTAATTTTTAGACAACGATATAAAGSAAAGAAGACTGTGATGAAGTGATTCAACCCAACATGCTGGCTTCCTTAGATTGTTTTTTTAATAAACTGAATTGAAGGTTAACAAAGTTGTRCTTTAAAAGCAGGAGAGGYCTGTTGCACAAAACTTGGATTAATAATTATCTGGGATTTTCATGTTGAGAGACATGTATGTTTCTATGGTAAGTAGTCTTCTGAAACAAACCTGGTTCCTTATTAGCTTATGTAATCGGTTCTGAGCATTTGGCGGTCACTTTGATCAGAAATCAGTGTGTTTTTACTTCTGGTTGGAGAGCAGAATAGAGTAGTCCTGTTTCCTCAGGCTCCTGCCATACAGCTTTAACTTTTGACATTATTCAACTAAAATAATCTCAACTCGATTGGAGYGTTTCCTAACACGTTAATTGCCTGTAAGCATGTCGTCCAGAACAGCTAAGCCAGTGGTTCTCAGTCCTGGTCCTCTGCATGTTTTGTTTCCCTGCTCTTCAGTAAATCTTTAAGTTCGGCAGAAGCCTGCCAATCACTCATTCGTTTAAATCAGGTGTGTCAAAGCAGGGGGACAACTAAAACAAGCAGGATAGGGATCCTTGAGGACCAGGATTGATGACCACCGAGCTCAGCTACCAAAGAAATAAGAACAAGTGGCCACAGCGCCTGCCTCTTTCAACGATACTACATTAGCAATCACACTAGCAGAGCTAAGAGCAGATAAACTAACCAAAGGTGACTTACTGACCGTACAATGTGAAAAAAAAAATTCTCAGCTTTTGATGCAAAACTAAACAGGAATTGGTTTACATTGATCAACAACAAACAGCTAACTYTGGATCTGGAAACTGGTGTTAACCAATGCAGTGAAAGTGCAGAAACACTCAATGGCCAGAGATGCTTTGAAGAGCAGACTGGGAACTCAACGCAATTTTGATACTTTTCTAATCTAAACATAATCACTGCTTTCATGTTGTTATTTTTGCTGTTTTTATTCATGATGATATATAGTGAATCAATTAAATTGAATCATTTCTATATTTTTTACAATAAATAGCCTATATGCCACGGTCATTAATGACGTATTTCCGGTAAAATTCTTGCCACGCTCCTCCCTTCCACTTCCTGCTTACTGCCTATGTTTTTAGAGTTAGCTCCTAGTATTAGTCCGTGAAAAGGTCATAAAAGTTAAAGTATCTGTGATCTACTGGTATAAAATGTGAGTTCTGTTGTGTGTCGTTGTGTCCACTAACCAGCAGGTACGATCGAGTAGTTACTTTTTATCCATTTTCCTCTTGATGAGGAGGTGACAGCAGAGGATCATAGCATTACAGGCAAAACTTATCTTTAAAAGCTCACGTTTGCATTTGTAATCGACATTTCTAACCTGAGGATATTCAAGAGTCAGCATCAGAAATGAGAAGACGGAGGTTACAAAAGGGAAATAATGTACATTTATCCCCTTTTACTGCCAAGACGAAGGAGGACAGCTAGCAGGAAGCTAACAGCAGCCGGTACAAAGGTAGGTGTGTGCGTGCGTTTGTGTTATACAGAGTATGAAATGTTTTTAGGCAACTTTGTCATGAGTTTCATGCAAAAGTAAAACTTGTTAGAGTGTATATTACAGCGTAGACAAAGCATGCGCGCCGAGCGCCCCACCCCCACCCCGCCCCCCGACGAGAGCAGTAGATCTTCATGTTTTCAGTTCACTAACGTCGGGGAAAACGATCCAAACCATACAAGTAGCCCATAAATTTAAAGCCCAGACTCTGCTCTTTCCAACAATATAAGTGTCACAGCTCTACGTGAAAAATTCACGGAACAAACAGCCAAGGAATAGTGAAAAAGGCTAAATTCTGGAACCATAAACACGAACGTCTTTCCTTTGTTTTTATGGCTTTAATCCACTTTGGAGTGATTTTTTTCCACTTGGCTGGACCTGTACGTCTCCTGTGTTAATGTTGGTACATGTAATATGCTAATTCTGTTCTGTGGAGATCATTAAAAGTCGTTGTCGGGTGAAAAACTCTTTTGCTAACACTGTGTTGACCGTGAAACGGAAGTATTGGGAGTGGCATCAAGTGCTGGACCGGATGTCCGTGGCATGTAGGCTTTTACCATAAAGACAATGCTGGTTCCTTATTCTTGACTATTCAGAGCGCACTAGATTGCACACTTTGGTATATGAGTCTGATTTAAAATGGTGAATACATATCATTGGTTAAATCTGGCGTGGTGCCCCCAACAGGTTATAAAGTGTCCTGCAGGGCAGAAACATTATCGCCTTTTAGTTTCTCTCCTTCAAACTTGCTACAGTTTCACTATATACATAAATCTTTATTCTGCTTTATCAACTAAAGTTGAAATCAACACTGACTGACCAGAATAAGACATATTTCAGAAAATCTACTTAGCTATTTTTACCAGCTCGAGAAATATATTAGTAGCTGAARAAGCCAAAATCAGTCATGAAGCTTGATGCCAGTTATAGAAGTGGAGGAGGAGAAAGGGATAGATGAGGAGGGAGAGGAGAAGGAGGAGAGTAAGCAGGTAAGGGGAGCAGAAATCACCATCAAAACAACATCAACAACACAAACAAACTAAAATAAATAAATGAATAAAACAATGCCAGGTATCAATGAAGATTGTTTTTTGTTCCTTAGTATTTGCTCAGATTTTTATGTAAAGCTGCTTGTTTAATGAGCTTTTAGGAACTGATTTTTGATTGTTGAAATAGCATARTTTTTATTCTGTAAATCAAGTAATTGTGTTTAAATTATAGTTCCATTTACATCTGCCATGCGATCACATAAAAGGCTCCAAACCAAGCTCTCAGGCTGAACGTCAACCCAGCCTGCCCCTGGCCCTGAATGAAGAATGTCCCTGATTACCATAAATCATGAAATGCTCATCATATAATACAACAGTTACACATGTATTCAAGGAGGTGTTTAATGCTGACCTATTCAACCATGAAGTAGCTGTTAAATCTGACACAGGTCTATGAAGTCATTTTCTAGTGTAGAGTCTAGCCAACAGGGTGAAGGGGAGTTTTACCTGCTCCTGTTCTTACCGCTACTTGCCTGGATTCTGTYGCAACACTTCAACCTCGTRCTCAATTCTCTGTTGCAWGTCCTGCAGGGTGTGTGGAGGAGTTACAAACACTTTCTCCTACACATAWCCCCAGAGAAAGAAGTCGCACGGTGTCAGGTCGGGAGACCAGGGAGGCCATTACGCTGGGTGACTGATCATAATTGGAAAGTGAGCCACCTCCAAAAAATGACCCAAATTTTAACACAATGCTGCTCAGTCATGCATAACTGGAAATTCGTGAATGAAGTATCATCAGAAAGCRTTTGTTGTCTACTTTTAGGTGAAACTATGCTCYCTCCTGTAAAATGAACAGTTTTGCCATGATGACAATGTTAAGTTGGGTTTCCTTTTTTAGGAAACCCAACTTAAGTATCTGGGGATCTTGTTCACGAATGGGGGAAGAAGGGAGCGGGAGATAGACAGGCGGATTGGCGCAGC